CTATCTCAGAGACATGTGTAGACACTGTGCCTGGGAGTAGTTTACTCTAGCTTAAACTGCTCCAAAGTTTATTGCTTCACATTAATTGCATATGTAGATGCACCCAGTATATAGTTATCCACATGGAATTCTTACCATACAATATTACTGCAAATAATTGTCAGGCAGGTAAGATAAGGACCATTAATGGGGTCAGGGCATAAAAAATAAAATTGCTAACCTGCAAGCATCAGAGAGAAACTTCCCTGAAGGCCAAGTTATATCCACTGTGGAATGTCTATCATTTTTCTATGTACTGACTGCTGGATGTTACATATTAGATTATCTACCCGAGTGATCCTCAACTAGGGTGTTGTGCCACTTTGGGGTGCTGTGAGATCCTTTCAAGAGTGTCACAGGATGCTGCTCAATATTAGTGCTGTTAGGGGTGCAAATGCGTACATATGTTTCACAAGATAAACCCAGAGATTTCAAATAGGAATCCACAGTGTCAAAAACATGGCCTTTCAGATCAATCACAAGATTGGAACCTCTTGTGGTCTCTTTGACTTGTTTGCAAAAGAATTGATTTATTATTTTTCTGTAGTCAAAAAACAAATGAAAGCTAAGAACTGACATTTTCCAAGAAATGCCTTGAGTCTAACAAGGTTTGAGAACTACCAATCTAGATCAATGCCAACATGGTCACAAATTGATCTGGAATTCTCAAAAATCCAGCACTTTTTAAACTTCTCCCTCTGCTCCCCTGGATGCGGAGGGGGAAGCTTGCACGCGGCGGCTGCCGCCGCCATCCACCAGAGCGGCCACTGCTTCCTACCCCTCCCCCGCAAGTTTCAAAAATCCAGAATTTTCAAATTTCCGGCTCGGTCCCAAGTATGCCAGATTTATGAGGTTATACTGTATACACTTCTGACCATGTCAGAAAGAAGATTATCCTTAGGCTTGCTGTAATAAAATACAATTAAAAATACATTTTATAGTTTTAAATGTGACTTTCAACTTCATGAAAACTGGTGAAGATCTGTAAGAACACAGCCTTTTGGAAAATGGATATAACATCTATCCTAGAGCAAAATTTGTTTATAAAAAATGTAAGCACCTTGGAATAGTCAATCTATACAACAGATCAGTATCTGCATTTACAGCTTACTTGGCTTAACACTACCAGATGGAGATTTTAAAAATATATTTCTAGCACTGATTGTCCAGGTTCCTCAATAGTTACAATAAATTTCCTTATAAAACATATAACTTTATTATATATTATACTGACAAGATTAGATAATTTTTTTTCTTTGACTGATGTTGATAGGAGAGTCTTGGATTTACCACCATGTCTAGAAAAAGTGGAACTATATATTTTACAGAAATGTCTTTAAATTGCATTTAAAAATGTCATAGGTCAGGTCCTGCCAGGGTAATATGGGATTGTAAATGTTTATTTAAAAGGCTCTGTCTGCTATTTCACTTGAGTTCCATGTTAGTGGTACTGCTACTTCCTCCTTTTCTACTTCCACACACTTGCCCATGGTCCTATTGTGAAATGTTTTAATACAAAGGGATGTTGAAATAGGATCATGTGGTTTTGTAACTTTTCAGAGGCAGGATTGTTTATGCTTACTTGCCTTCCTTATTAGGTCTTGATTTTTTAGGGGGTGCAGTAATTTACGTAAAATGGCTTAGTTGGGATATTCCTCTTAACTCTACAAATTGCTGTATTCCCTCCCTATAGCTGGGGTGCTCAACCTCCAGCTCACAGGCCAAATGTGTCCTGTGGAGCCATCACATTTGGCCTGTAGGACTCTCCTGGGTTAGGAAATTTGGCAGTAGGGGAGACATGGCCATTAATACAGCCACCCTCCCCCACCAACAAATTTCTAAACTCTATGCCCTGCATGGCCGGCTGCCACCCCTTCCCTCACTGGGCTGGGCCATACCCACCCCGCGACTGGATCAGGGCTGAGCCTCAACCTCTGTGAAGCTGGATTGGGCCCGGCCATGCCCCCTTCCCCCTGTTGGGGCTGGGCTACATCCCCTTCCACCTGTGGGGCTGGGTAGGGGCCTAGCCACACTCTCTTCGCCACAGAGTTTGGCTGTGCCTACTCTCTGCTCTCCCTGCAAGGCCAGGTTACACCCTGTTCCCTCTCCATGGGGTCAGGTCAAGCTTCTTTCCTCTGCAACACTGTGTTGGGACTGACCTTTCCTCTACCCCCTGTCACACAGCCAGATGGTGGTCACTGTGCCTACCTGGGCTCTATATTGGGAACAACGGCTGGATCTGGGCCACAGACAGACCAGAAACTGCCAATCCAGCCCACCAGGCAAAAAGGTTGAGCACCACTGACCTTTTGAGAAAATTAATTTTGAGAAAATTATTCTGGCGCATATCCACAAGGGGCCAGCAGGGGAGATTATGCTTAGGGGCAACAAACACGGGTTCGTTAGAGGCAGGTCCTGTCAGACCAACTTGGTGGCCTTCTATGACCAGATCACCAAATCCTTAGATGCAGGGGTAGCAGTGGACAGAGTCTTCCTGGACTTTCGGAAGGCCTTCGACACTGTCTCTTACCCTGTTCTCATTAAGAAACTGGGAGACTGTGGTGTCGATACATACACAGTCAAATGGGTCGCCAACTGGCTGGAGGGCCGCACCCAGAGAGTGGCAGTGGATGGGTCATTTTTGACCTGGAGGGATGTGGGCAGTGGGGTTCTTCAGGCCTCGGTCCTTGGGCCCGCACTGTTCAACATCTTCATCAGTGACTTGGACTTGGAGGGGGTAAATAGCACCCTGTTCAAATTTGCTGATGACACTAAGATGTGGG